ATTCACGAGTTGAATTTTACATTTAAAGTTCAGGCTGACGTACACGAGGCAAAGAATACATAATGAAACACGTGATATATATCTTTTAGTCTAAACGTGTAAATGTGTAAATGTGTAAATGTGTAAATGTCTTTTTCCGTGAACCATTAATGACATTGACTGTATACCTTCTAATATATTAAATATTGAATAAAAATGGTTAGGGATAATAACTGACTTGATGACTAACCACGTATTAATACAATAGCAATTATTAATAGCAATTATTCGCCGAAGGGGAAGTGAATATCGGGGAATATTTAACGAGATGCGGGTCTTCGAGCGGCAAGGTAAATATTCTCCATATTCACTGAGCCTGAGGCGAATAATTGCTTTAGCATATACCAACTTGTGTACAGAGTAACTTATTTTTATATAGTCAATAATTCAATAAAAACAAACAAACAGAAACTTTTAGTTTGCGTGACAAATTCACGCAAAACTTTTAGCAAAACTGGTAGACCATACTTCGTTGCCTTTTTAGTATTGATAGGAATGGCATTTACTTTCATTTTTTCAATTTCCTTATCGAAAATTGTAGCAAAACAATTGCCTGCAGATGCCATTTTGTTGCCGACTCAATATTGCGAGATTCAGAGGTGAATATTGTACAATATTCACCTCCAATTAACCAAAGAGAGCGCGTGTTCTTAGGAAGCACACAAGTTGGTATATGCTAATTAACAGTATAATTACATATATGTTGTTGTGTATCTTATGTTTTCAGCTGTGATGGATTGTGATCTGTACAAGCCAATGTCCCTAACCCTCACACCTGATGACAAAGATTACTTTGCATTTGAAGCTCCTATGCTATCCAAGTATCCTGTTAGAGGTTAGTTTCAAGTGTTGCTCACATCAGCAGATCTAGAATTTTGAGTAGGGGGGTTTACAAATTATTCCAAGCTAGAAAAAGGGGTGCACAGGCACCCTTTGACCAGGGCAGATCCAGGGAGTTTATTTAATGAAGCATATTTTGAAATATTTTTTCAAGTTCTGTATAAGTGTCATTTGCAAAATTTAGTCAAGCCCTAGCTCCTCCTCCCCCTCATATTTTTGGCTGAATCTGCCCCTGTTGACCTCCTGATGTATCCCCCACTGGCTTATTAGCTACTATGATAAAGACTATAACAATAAAGACTTTATTTTACGAGGGTAGCACGTAATAGCAACGCTAATAAACTTGTGGCCCTCTACTCATGAATAAAGGACCATTCATTAATTACCAAATCCAATTGAGCTGGTTTTTACAGAGGGTGGAATTTAAGGAAAGCCAGAGAACCAAGAGAAATACCCTTGACTCAGGGTAACACACCTCCTTGCAGTAAACTGTATGTACAATTATTATGATCTCCCAGAACCTTGGGAATCACTTACTGTTTTATATATTTTATTTTCATGTACTACTAAAGATAAGGACCAAGGAAGGATTAAGGAAGAGGATCAACAAGCACATGACTATATTCTTACAGAAGACCAAAAGACTGCAGCAGCAGATGATGAATCATACAATCTACAGGATCATTTATGTACTGGTGAAATAATAGATGATACATATGACCTACAGCCCTTATCAGCAGAACATAGGTATTAATACTGATACACCTAATTGAAAAAACATAGTCGGGTTCGAGAAGGTCATATCATCGAAGCTAAGACCGAAAAGGATTTTGGGTACTCCAAAATGTGTATTATATTTTTGCACAGTAGAGCAAAATCGGTCGACCTAGATTAACAGCATGCCAAAGCCATGATGCATAAAATGTGCACAGGAAGGGAAAACTGCAATACGCATGAAATTAGCATGATATAGTTTGTCTTCCCGTGCTCCCCTTTGGTCTTAGCTTTAATTCATAACATAACCTTTTTTGAACCCGACGTTTTTTTCAATTAGGTGTATATAAATATAATGAAGTGATGTACTTGTAATTGGTATTTGTATCACTTCATAATAGGCCCCAATTAAGGCATACATCCACTAGCTGCAGGGTGTATGTGATGTAATGTTTACTCAGCCAACACTGTACTGTGATATTGTACAATGCATGCACATACATCCACTA